GGAGGAAGTTCTCGTGATCACTACCCGCCCCCGCCCCCGATGGTGCGGGGCAGGGCGCCGCCACACGGGGACAGCTGCTTGTCACCCGACGAACACGGAAGGGGCCTCCCAGAGTACCGGCCGGGCGATGCGAGACAGGGTCGCCGTGCTGTGTCGGAGACAGCAGAAGGCTTCTGAAGGCGGCGGTCTTACCTGCTGCTCTTCGGCGGATCTGAATGCATCCCTCAAGAGTTCCAGCGCCGCCGAAGGGTCCACGAACTTGCGACGCGTCCCCAGCATCAAGGCAAACAGGCACTGCAGTTCTTGCATGAACACGACGTTTCTTTTTCCCTGCGTCGCAAAAAGAAGAAGAGCCAAGCCCTTCCCGCAACTCAAAAGAGCAACGGGCTCCTGCACACCACGGGGGCACGCCTGTAAGGGGCAGGCCAGCAACCGAGGGAAGCAGCAACGTGACAGAGGACAGAAGCAGACAGACAGACACCCGGCGGCCTTTCCGGGAAGCCACCCGCTCTCCCAACGGACGTGCGGGAGAAAAGACCCAAGCGAAACAAACCCTTTAGAGAAAAGGGCGCCAGAAGCGGCAGCCGCTAAACCGGACGGCAGAAGCCGGGGAATCCGTGAACTTAAGTCTGTTTGCGCTGGAGGTTTTTTAGAGCGTAAACAGAGTACAGCAAAGTCCCTGAAACGGCGGCGGGCGCACGCCAGAGCGACGTAACAAGCGAAGGATTATTCTACGTACGGCCCGTGCTCTGCGTATTTTCTAAGCCCCTCCTGCTGCCCGCTCTGTGAAGGCACTGGGGTGAGAGGGACCTTCGGCCTGGCTCGAACACCAGTTCTTCCACGGTGCACGCGAACACACGGACAACCTGGAGCTACCGAAGGAGTTCCACGGGGCAAACGTGTCACTGCACCACAGTCAGAAGCTCTAGGGGAAAGCTTTATGAGAAGCGCCTGACTTTTCCCTGCAGTGATTCGGTCTTTGAGAAGTATTTCCCGAATTTGTCTTTAACGCAGCCCGACGAAGTGAAAGCCATTAGCGCAAAGGCAGAGGCGTCTCGGATGGCCCCAAACTAAATCTGCCTAGAGAAAGAGCAGAACAGGACGCCGGGGAAGAGGGCAGTTTTTCAGCGCCCCTCGACGAAAACTTACAGTGCGACTATGACAACTTTCGAGCACGTTTTGCGGGAGGGAGTACCCGAGGACCAGCCTCCGGAATTCCGGCAGCTGAAACAGAGACTGAAAGGAAAGGAGAGGCAGAGACCAGTCAGCACCCGCGAGGCTTTCGCTCGCCGCCCCGTTGTCACGCTTTTACTCGTCAGCCTTTTTTCGGTAACCTCTACTGCTTCGATGGCCCGCTGCTGCTAAATCAACCCTCGGGAAGCGAGCGGTCGATGTGCCGGACCAGCATGTTCGCAGCCACCAAAGGCCAAACTCTCTGGGGTACGGAGCGGCGCTTTAGGAAAGAGCGCTGTCTTTGGCACAGGCAAGCTTAGAAAAAGCACCGAGGAACGAGCCGCAGAGAGAAAGGAGCCCATTTGGAGCTTGCTTTCTCCCTCCCAACGCTGAGACGCGCCATTAGCGTCCAGCTGCTGATGGGAAATGGTTAGAAGGGACAAATCTGCTCAGCTCCCCTTACTGCCGTCTCCTCTTGTTTCAGTTATCGCTAATAACGCACGCTGCCTGCTTGCTTGCTTATTTGTCCAAGCATCTACGCCAGCGTACGCCATTAACCGGAACGTGATACACCACGTATCGCGGAGCCAACGAGAACCGCAGTCAGAGGGAATTATCGGTTCGCTTTGCCAGTCAGGCTTCTGTCACTCGATAAGCGTTCGGACGCCGCTGCACCGAAAAAACCTCTGCCTACGCACAGGCAGGTTACAGGCATCGGCGTTTGCTTTTAGGCAAAGTCCACCGAACCGCCCTCCGGCTCTTTCTGAGCAGGCCCAGAACCCATCGCCACCATATCCCACGGAAAGAGAAGGCTCGTCTGAGCACGGTCACCTTCGCCCGTCTGCGTGCGGTGACGCTTCACGGAGCCGTCGCACGTTTAATTCTAACTGAGAAACGCCGGGACGCCGAGACCGCAGCGACTCCCGAAGAGCTTTTCCGTCACCTTACCTGTATGACAGCGCTAAACCAACACGTGTTTCCAATGTTTTTCATTCCGACGGGCCAGTCGCCCACCCGTCTCCAGTCGCTCTGCTTGGGGTTCTCTCCCCAGACTTCACAGCGTTTCCTTTTGGAGCGGTTTTTGCTCTCAGCAGAATGCGCCTCCTGGGGCCTGTCGCAAGAGATGCGCGCCGTGCCATGAAACACCCCCTCGCAGAGACCCTCGAGAACCACGGGAAGCGCGCTGCCCTCCGGCCACAGGCGGGACGCTAGAGCCCCGCGCCGCCGGGTGACGCCCAGCGCAAGAGGCAACACGTCTGCTCTGGCTCCAGAGGAGCTGGATGGCAAACACGCCCGCAAGACCGTTCGGAACGACGGAAGGAGGGGAAGGATGAGCCAGCTGCACGCACGACTGCTGCCCTTAGTCACGAGCGGAGGCAAACCCAGCCCACAGGGGAAAGCAGACAGCCACGTGGCGACGGGCACGAGGCGAGGCGACGGGCACGAGATTTCAAGGCGCTTCCTCAACCGGCGCCACACGGCAGCATGGCGCGCGTCAGCAACGGCAGGGGGGGGGCGCGGAC